CAAGAAGCACATCCAGAACGCCAAGATGTACGGAGTGCCAGTGGTGGTAGCCATCAATCGGTTTGAGACGGACACGGAAGCCGAAATCGGTATAGTCCGGGAGGAGGCTATTGCTGCCGGTGCGGAGGATGCCATTCCTGCCAACCACTGGGCCGAGGGAGGTGCCGGGGCCGTTGACCTTGCCAAGGGGGTGTTGGCAGCTAGCTCCAAGCCTAAGGACTTCAAGCTCCTGTACGACTTGGAGGGCAGCATCCAGGAGCGCATTGAGCGCATTGGAAAGGCCATGTACGGTGCGGAGAAGGTCGAGTTCAGCGAGCTGGCGCAAAAGAAGGTCGACACCTACACGGCACAAGGCTTCTCCAATCTCCCGATCTGCATTGCCAAGACACAGTACTCCTTGAGTCATGATCCCGCGCTCAAGGGCGCCCCAACGGGCTTTACAGTTCCCATCCGTGATGTTCGGCTGGCGGTTGGAGGTGGATATCTGTAAGTGCTTATTTCATTACATGGCTCCTGCGGATCAATCAGCTAACCAGTGGATGAACCCACACAGTTACGCACTTGCGGCAGACATCCAGACTATCCCCGGATTGCCGACTGCTCCGGGTTATCTGAATGTTGATATCGACACCGAGACTGGGGAGATTGATGGCCTGTTCTAGGCTGATGAGATCCTCCCTTGCCTTGCTCAGTGCTTTTTTCATTTTCGGAGCGATGTTTATCTCCTCCAATTTATACCATATAATTGATTGTGATGTAGAATTTATTTCAACATGTATGAGCATGACGACATTAGATTGAATGTTGTGTCTAGACGCAGGTGGTCTTCAACATACTGGGATGGAAATACGGTGCGGAGACTCGGAGATGGTTCTTACCTCCCCGATATGTGGGACAGAACTAGATAGTAAATATATCATAGAAATGATAAAAAAATTCCACCAACCTGCGACGAGTCTGGGAGACTGATATTTATCGACTCGGATAATTAATCATCGTTATTATCACTTGATAACTTGAATCTCTCACCGAAGCCAATTCCACTCCCATGCTGTACCAAAAGTTCCGCATATAGGCGATCTCGGTGTATCGCTTTCCGGCGGTAGTATATCATGGCATCCGTTGCCGCGGGAAACCGAGGTTATTTTTTGACGTACACCTCTCATTCATTTCAGAGGGACAAAAGGAAATAATATCAGTAGGAATCAATATAAGATCATAATAATATTAAAACTGAAAGTCATGGGGATTCTGTGTTAGTAGAATGTCAGGACCATGAACATTGGTGTAGGTAATGGAGTAGTGCCAGCGGGTTCATGGCAGTGGTTCATTCGAAATGTCCGGCTTCGGCGCTTTGAGCGGAGTTCCAAGTTCTGCTAAGGAAAAATGGTCAACAAAAACAACTAAATTCATATCAGTTGAAGGACGTGAGGAGCAAAAAGAATCAGTCATAGAGCAACCGGGCAAAGGCTTTTCCTGCTGGAATAAGAGGACGCCTTCTCCTTCATCCTTTTGGACCGGATTTCTTCACTCGAACATCCTCTAAAATATTCCTCCCATCCCCAAACTATTACTATCATCACCATTAAGCAATTTTCCGGGCGGTCCGTTCTGCCCCGTGTTGCCCCAGAAATTTAGCAAGTGAGAGCTCTTGAATCAGTAAGTTATGCTTGTTCCCTGACCACCTTCTCCGGCTCGACGGCTGCTTCCGACTCCACTGTCCTCCTTCCAGCCGAGCCTCTTCTTGCTATTCCCTCGGGTACTGCGAGTCTGTGAATCTGCAAAGTTCGCGCTTGGCTGACTGAAGCAACCTGGTTTTCCCCTTAGAAGCGAAGCGGAAGTACCGATTTGCGAACCGCCTTGGGCCGACCAATATCCACGCCATAAGTCTTTGTTTCCAATAGGCTCGAGACGTAGAATCAGCGAGGACAGGCGCGCGAGAGTGTTATATTGCAATTCCCTAATCCCTGATCGATATGAGCTCTCTCCGTTTCAGTTCCGCTTTTGCGCGACGTTCCCTCCACGCCTGCGCCCCTCCTCGATCTGCCCCTCTCTATTCCTCCGCTGTTCGCTTTTCTTCCCTTTCCTCTTCTACTTCTTCTGTCTCCTCGTCTTCTTCTTCCTTGTCTACCTCTGCTGCTGTAGCTCGTCCTCAGCGTACTCTTGCTTCATCCTCGCTCTCTGCTTCTTCCCGCTGGTCCGGAGTAACCTCGTTTCGTTTGACCCAATCGCGCACCATGGCCACCGAAGGTACCAAGATCAAGGTCAAGAACCCAGTCGTTGAACTGGATGGTGATGAGGTAGGTTTTCTCTCGTCGGATTTGAAGTTTGAGTTGGATCTGCAGCTAGATCGCTTGCATCCCCGTTCTTATATAACCTTTGCTGGGTTCACTGTCACAAGCGCGTCCGACGTGCATTTTCGTCATAGTCTGCGAGAACCCGGGGAAAAACGGCGGACTGCGCCTGCTGTGCCTGGACAAAGCTGCCAATCTCCGAGGATTATTGACTCATACTGAACAATGCTCTCTCGATTCGCAAGTCGTTTGTTTGATGGATATGTGGGCTAACGATTGGTGTTTCAATTATTCTAGATGACCCGTATCATCTGGCAGGAGATTAGAGAAAAAGTAAGTTCTTCGTCCTCATCCCCGCCGCTGCCTGCTCTATCTGCATGCGGGCCGTTCCTCTCCGAACCTTTATGATAAATCACCTCCTTTTCCCTTCAAGCTAAGACCTATGTCACTGACTCGTCGTCTCTTTAAAGTTGATCCTTCCGTAAGTCCTCTCGACTGTCTTCGCCGGACTGCCAGTGGGATGTGAACTGAGATTCTGGATTAGTTACCTTGACATTGACCTCAAGTACTACGACTTGGTATGTTCTACTCTCCATGTTCTTAATTGAAGGCCTCAGCGCTAATCTCGTTCCAGGGTATTGAATACCGTGACCAGACCGATGATAAGGTCACCGTCGAGGCTGCTGAGGCCATTAAGAAGTATGGTGTCGGTGTCAAGTGCGCCACCATCACCCCCGATGAGGCCCGTGTTGAGGAGTTCAAGCTGAAGAAGAGTAAGCCCTGCCGCCTCACGTCCTTGAACCATTCTCTAACTAGTTCCTCAGTGTGGCTGTCTCCCAACGGTACCATCAGAAACATTCTGTATGTTGTCCTCAATCTATTGGTTCTCCTTCCGGTCAAATACTAATTCCTTGTAGCGGTGGAACGGTCTTCCGTGAACCAATCGTCATTCCCCGTATTCCTCGTCTCGTCCCGGGCTGGAACAAGCCCATCATCATTGGTCGTCACGCCTTTGGTGACCAGTACCGTGCTACCGACATTGTCGTCCCGGGACCCGGCAAGCTCGAGCTCGTCTACACCCCTGAGAATGGTGAGCCCCAGGCCATCAAGGTCTACGAGTTCAACGGCGGCGGTGTTGCCCAGACCCAGTACAACACGGATGATTCCATTCGTGGCTTCGCCCACTCCAGCTTTAAGATGGCCCTGATGAAGGGACTGCCCCTGTACATGAGCACCAAGAACACCATTTTGAAGAAGTACGATGGCCGCTTCAAGGATATTTTCCAGGAGATCTACGAGTCTACCTACAAGAAGGACTTTGAGGCCAAGGGCATCTGGTACGAGCACCGTCTCATTGACGACATGGTTGCTCAGATGATCAAGAGCGAAGGTGGTTTCGTTATGGCTCTGAAGAGTGAGTCTGTCCTGGTGTCTTTCCATCTTGAATGTCTCTTGCTGATTGATTTGTGAAGACTACGACGGTGATGTTCAGTCCGATGTCGTCGCTCAGGGTTTCGGCTCCCTTGGCCTGATGACCTCCACTCTGACCACCCCTGATGGTAACGCCTTCGAGTCCGAGGCCGCCCACGGCACTGTCACTCGTCACTACCGTGAGCACCAGAAGGGCCGCGAGACCTCCACCAACCCTATTGCCTCGATCTTCGCCTGGACCCGTGGTCTGATTCAGCGTGGCAAGCTCGACGACACCCCCGAGGTCGTCGCCTTCGCCGAAGAGCTCGAGCGCGCATGCATTGACGTCGTCAACGAGGAGGGTATCATGACCAAGGATCTGGCTCTGGCCTGTGGCCGTAAGGAGCGTGAGGCCTGGGTTACCACTAAGGAGTACTTGGCTGCTGTTGAGCGCAGACTCAAGTCTAACCTCAAGGCCAGACTGTAAGCGTTTTAACTCGTTTCGATTTGTTCTATTTGATTTGCATTGATTGTAATTAAATACCACTTTCAGCATGAAGGCTTTTCTGGAATAGCCGCAATATAAAAATTATTTTGGGATAGATTCGGTTGACTCGTTGAACACTACTTGCAGCGGAACAGCTTTTCTTGATGATGTTGGAGCTGCCTGAGGCATGCCGTGTTGTGCTTTAAGGTCGCAGACTCGCTGCCCCACTCAAAAGAGGCAAGCTGCAAGGCCCTTGTCTCTCGACAATCGGCATTATTCTTCACGTATCGAATTGCTCCTCATTACACTTTTGGAAACCAACACCAATTGATTCTATTGACGGTTCTACTTCCGTGACCCACCTAGCTCCCTCGAGAAGTGAGTGGATGATCAGCAAGGGACCCTTATGCCTGATTCGGAAATACTGGGGTCACGCCGGTGATGTGTCGGGGCTGGTATGTAGGGGCTATTCGATGCCGGAATTTGATCCGCCACCCAAAGTAAGTTTCACTATGCCAGTCAAAATCGTGGGTTGTCGAAGTGCCCACCAGGGTGCTATATTTCGATGGACGATCCAGATGCGGGCAGAGTTCGGGACTCACTGTGCGCTGACGCAATAGAGTCACATTCCAATGAGGCTGTCTTAATAAGCACTTGGCCACAACGACATATCTCTATCCAACGCAGTAACATCAGGCAGATAAGTTTGCAAGATGTTCTAAGAGTATGGAGCAGCAGCTACTCGCATCAATTGAAGACTGAGTGCTGTCGAAGATGCCGTCGCCTCTTCACGGCGACTCCCTTCACTCATGGACATGAACCCCCGGATATTGGGAGTTACCACTGCACTTTTAATACTGTCGACCTTGACGGTTGCCCTGCGGTTGTTCACTCGGTTTGTGATTGTTCGAACACCAGGTTGGGACGATGCATTGATTGTTGCGGCAGTGGTAAGCTCATGAAATGGTCGCTTGATTGATATGAGAGCACGACTGGTTGACGAATTAAGGGAACAAACTATGTCTTCTATACATGCCTGATAATTGGTAAGACGCCGGCTTGTGTGAGCCTTTAGCCTCAACTTATCCTCGAGTAGAACTTCGAAACCACTTGGGAAAGGAAGATGATGCAATCGGCGATCATGATGTGCGAACTCAGCTCAAGGTACGTACCCCATACTTGAAGTGGAGCCATGATAGCCAACTCGACCCGCAGGCCCTCTGGGTCTCCATCCCATTCTATAATCTCACCCTCACGCTGGCCAAAATCTCCATGATCCTGCTGTATATGCGTCTTTTCGTGGCCACGAACAAGCGCTTCCGCACCCTTCTCATCGTCTTTCTCGTCTTCATAATCATTGTCGGTCTATGGACCCTCTTGGGCTCCGTTTTAATATGCCTCCCGGTTCGCGGGTTCTGGGACCACTCCGTTCAGGCCACATGTCGCCCCTTCGCGGTCGTATGGTGTCTCAATGCTGCGCTACAAATCGTAACGGATCTAGTGGTCGTCACGACCCCGATGCCCACGCTCGCACGGCTGCGTCTACCAACCAGACAAAAGTTCGCCCTGATATTAGTGTTCGCCCTGGGGTTCTTGTATGTCTCTCCCTTCCCCTTCTATCCTCCAACCATATACTAACGCCACCAGCGTCTGCGCAATGAGCATCATCCGCCTTGTTAAAATCATCCAACTCGTCAGTGGCGACAGCGAAGATTTCTCCGGTAACACTGCATGCCCCGAATCTATACCCAACAAGACTGACAAGATCATAAGAGCGCAACGGCCCAGCAGCAAACTGGTCTTCCATAGAGGCCAACGTCGCCATCATCTGCACCTGCCTACCGCCCCTACAACCGCTCCTCACCCGCATCTGCCCGCGCCTGCTCTCTCCGCGCTCGCGCCCCCGCGACAGCCAACGTCAACGGGAAAAGGAGCTACCCTCTGTCTACTCGTTCCATCTTCATAACCCGTTCGCTGTGACGAGTGGGAATTACTCGGCTAGTGTCACGGGGAATTGCTCGGTCAATGGGGATGAGTTGCAGGATACGGATGGGATCCAGGTTGTTAGGGAGTTGAGGTGGGATTTGGATCATGCGGAGAGAAGATCCGGGAGTACGACCGAGAGGGAAAGTGCGAAAAAGCAAAGACGGGACTCGGGGTTTGCCGGGTGATAGACTGGTTTCAGAGGGGAATGTAATAGATCTTTGGAGGTTTGCGAAGTCTATAGACTTTATGCAAAAGGTATGTTGTTAGTCCGTACTGGATGAGGGGGGTAATTATTTATACTGGAGAATATAAAGAGATGCATGGTACAATTATCTATACTTAGGTACATACATGCTCGACCAGTCAATGAGGAACAAAGGTACCATTCTTACACTCAAACCCGAGTTTGGGGTTCAGCTCCGCCGTAGCCTTCATGCAAATAACACTAGGCGAGTCCATACTCTGCGGGTAAAGCTGGATATTCTCTGTCCTGAAGTTTTTGCAGGAGGCCTCGGTGTTGCACTCGAGCACGATGGCCTCGGTATGTTTCAGGTTCGGCAGACCGGCGTTGAACCAGCACGGATTGGTGACGCAGGACCCATCACCGGGGTGGTAGGTATTGATGGAGCCCGAGAAATCAGACCAGGTGAAGTCCTCCATCATGACGGATGAGGAAGGGTCGATGGTGCCCGCCCGCGAGGCACCCTGATCCCAGTAGCTCTGGGTGACGAAGATGGGGAAGGAGACGTTGTAGACGCGGATGTTCTTCCAGATGACGTTCTTGACGAGGCCCTTGCCGCCGGACCAGGACTTGAAGCGGGCGGCGTAAAGCGCATCGATGACGGTGACGTCCTCGAAGCGGAGGTTGGTGATGTTGGCGAAGTCGGTGGGGTTTTTGCCTAGCGAGCCGATGCTCATCCCGTGCGACTGGTAGCCGATGGTATTGCGGGCGAAGACGATGTTGTGCGAGGGGGAGCCGACGGCGATGGCATCGTCGCCGTTGTACATGATGCTGTCGGTGATGCGGATGTTGGTGCCCTGGACGTCGAAGCCGTCGGTGTTAAAAGGGAAGCCACCCGTCGATTCGGCGTCGATGATGGCGTGGGTGACGGTGATGTCGTCGCCGTGTAGCTTGACGTTCCAGGCGATTGGCTTGCGCGAGCGGAAGTTCTTGATCGATGCCTGGCTCGTCTCGTAGCTCATCAGGTGCGGCCGGTTCGGGAAACTGCTGCTGTTGGCCGGGTTTGCGTCCCACCAGGCCTGACCATACGAGTTGATCCAGCCGTTGTTGATGTCGTCGGGTCCCGTCCAGTCGACGCGGGGCCCCTGAAACGTGAACCAAGTAGTTTGGCCTGATTTGACGATGTTCTGTACGGCGGTAATGTTCTGGGGAAGATGCAGGTTCCCGAGCAGTCGAATCTCGACATTGCTGAGATTGGTTGCTTTGATCGGATGGAAGATGTTGTAGTCAACACCCTCCTGGAAGACAATGACCGAATTCTGGGCGCACTGGGCAAAGGCGCTGGCGACGGCAGGGGAGTCATCTGCGGTTCCCTGGGAGGATGCGTAGCTCGAAGGAACCACACATTTTCTCGAGCGAGCTTGCAATGAGTGACTGGGAGCTCCCAAAGCCAGCGGGGCAAGAGAGGCAAGAATGCCCAGAAGAGCTGGTGTGGTAATCAGCATCATGAATGGGGTAGAAAAGCTGTTGCTGGGACACATACCATGGATGCATAACTCGGTGAATTTAAATAGTTTCTATCTGGATAGCTCCATCGAGCAGAACCTCAAGGAGCTACGAAGCCCTATTGCACGGAGAAACTCGAAAGTTACATGACTTGTATGGACGGAAATTTGAGCTCCACCCGTATAGAGCTGATCAGAGCCAAGATGGATGCTTAGTATGGGGTCATATGGCATCGCATTGGTGGAGGAATTAGGACGGAGACTGGGGGCAATATGGGGTACTCCATAGTTGACAGTAGCTAATTGAATAGCCGAGGTTATCATCATCGCGAGATGAAGATTTCCAATAATAATATCTCCTTTGAGTCTTGATCTGAAGCTGGCAGATTGACGCGGAGGGCCTTGCAGCCTCAGGCTCTGAGCCTTACACCTGACCTACTAAACTCAAGCTTATGTGGAGAAGTGGGCCATCGTGATCTAGATAAACATCGACAACGACGACCTCAGCCGATTCACGCTAGACAGCTCAAATCACCAGACTATTGGTACTCACCTTCAAGGTACTACCTCCACTCGATCACAAATCATCATGACACCTACATCTACATCCGCGTCCGCGTCCCTCAGCTCCAATTCGACCCCCAACATCTCCGCATCCGACGCCGTCCTTCACCTCAGCAGTGCTACACACATCGACGCACCCTCACAAGATGTCTGGAATGCTCTAATCGACACCTCCACCTGGCCAACGTGGAACACCTTTGTCCCGCGAGTTACCATCCGCGAACAACCAAACTCCCCCGATGCCTCCCCCGACTCCCTCTCCCCGATCCTACAAAAAGGAACCAGAATGACCTTCCACGTACACATGAATCCCTCGTCGACCAAACCGCAAAAGGCAAACGATACCCAGCTTGCAGTCATCGAATTTGAGCCGCCGAATCCCAGCGCCAAGAAACCCGGGCGCATTGTGTGGGCCAGCGACCCCAATGCCAAGGGCGGATTTCCTACGTCGCTGCTGACGGCAGAAAGGGTACATGAGATTGTGGAGGTAGAGGTCCCAGGGGAAGATGGGCAGACGAGGCTGGGGACTGATGTGCGCAATTGGGAGGCCCAGGTTGGATATCTGGTGTATATTGTGCGGTGGATGTTTGGGGGTCGATTGAAGGAAAACTTTGAGATTTGGGTACGGGATCTGAAGGGATATGTTGAGGGGAAGTCGTCAGGAGTTTGATTATGTGTGCTGAAGAATTGAATGCGAAGCAACTGCGAAGTGACCGCAAATGGTGATCGACAGGTTGTAGCCGGGGTTTCCGGAATCTGCACTGGTTTGACGGGGTTCTCAGACGGCTGACATGCAGGACTTGATCAAGAGACTGTGGAATGTTGAATATGTGCATCAGCTGTTCCAGATTTACCATTTGCTTGGGTATCTTGATGCTGTTCGCCTAAACGATGATGCAGTGGAACTACGGCACAAGGAAACAGTCATATTTCCTGCGGATGTTCGCGTAACAGAAATCGATTTCAGGGAAGCCGGTGTGATGATTCCTTGATTTCCTGATGCTCGTATTTTTATGATAGTACTGACACATATACCCTCCTCTAGAGCTATATTTAACAATCCTGAGCGGCTAGATATCTATATCTACATTGCTATTGCAGACTCTTACTCCGCGTCAACCATGAGGACTGCATGAGTCAATTTCAACAAATCACGGGTCTATGTCATAGTTTGGGGCTTGAGAGACAGATAAATATATCTCCGCGGTTATTAAGTACTAGACTGAACCTAGTGAGGCCGGAGTAATTCCGAAGCGGAAACCTCTTAGTTACAGACTAAAACCAAAAGATATCGGCGATGACGTTGCATTCAGTTGAAACCTGATTCGAAGGCAATTGGAGGCTTTGGAGTCAGTTGAGGATTAGTGCATAGTTAATGGGTGTTCTTAATTCTCTCTCGAGCAAGGATCAGCCCCTGACTTGCGTAAAATGTGGAGAAGATATCCCTCAATCTCACTATGCGAAAGTCTCGATAGTCAGTAAATTTCCGTGGCTTGAGTCTGAGCCTCTCACACGTGGGGGTGGAGATTGGCTACGAACTTGTCGCGAAGATAGATCAAAGTTATGGAGAGGCAAGGGTCTCATGGCCTGAGAAACAACGACTGAATTAAGATTGGGGGTATGACTAATGATTCTTGATAGAGAATTATTGTTATCATCAGGTCGGATGCTTTATCGTGACCTACCTTATCTCTGCCCTGAGGCCGTTCTCTCTCTGTATGCTTACCTAAATATTGCTCTTCTCTGACGCGGAAATGACAGCCGTTTGGGCGCTTCCGGTTAATTTGGTCGGCGTCCGAGCGGAGACGAACCAATACCCACTGGAATACCCTATTGGGTCAACCGGGTTAACGGGGGACTCAACCAAACCTGTTTGCGTTTAGTGGCCGTGCTTGGGAACTGCAGAAGGGCCGAGACTAGGTAAGGCAGGCAAGACCCTGTTCGCGGTATATTATTACTTACCGTACCGTTACGACTCCAGGGAAATCATTGGTTAAGGTAATCTCAAAGAATGCAAAGGGCAGATTAATCGCTCATGGACTTGTTCAAGCATGAGTGTAGTTTGCCTCGCACTTGATATAGATAGGCAGGGATGAGAGTATTCTCAACTTGAAGATCATGGGGTGAATAATATGATGTCTTATAACTACCAGTGTAAGAGGATTAATCGTCTTTTATTTCAGTTTGCTGACAGGATCCATGTTACTGTAACCCTTTGTGATAGCCGTCGCAGTGCTACCTTGCCTCAAGCAATAAAAACCACCTAAGAATTAACTACCTACTCTGTGTACTATGGCTGGCTCCAAGTGTAACAGTAGTAAAATAATAATGATGGTCGGTCATCGTATTCCGTTGAATCCTTCTCAATCCTTTTAGATTGTGATAGACTAATAGTAATTCCTTGGTTTCATCCATCGTCGTCCATCTCAGGTTTAACATTATTGTCAATTAAGCTCCTCGTCGATCCCCGAACTTTTTCCCACTTTTTTGTGACTCGACTTTCCCTGGTCGAGACCGTTTGCTTTTTTTCTCTTTTCGTTTTTCTCTTTTCACTCGCCCTCATCTCATCCTTCTTTCCTTTCTTCCCTCGATCTTATTCCTCTTGCAGCGTCTTCCATCATGTTTTCGGTCTTTCGTCGCTTTCGTCTGTCTCTGACTCTGTTTTCTTCCGCTCCTACTTTCCTCTGACCACCCGTCTCCGTCTTGGGCCTGGGTCCAACCACGAGGCTCCTCTTGTCACCCACGTCTCACGCATCGCCACTCACATCATCTTTAAATACTCGTTCCCCAAACTTGTGCCTCTATAGATCCATAGATCGTGTCCGATACGTCTTGTCGCTTAATCCAGAGTATGCGCCTTGGTTGCTCGCCTGTCGTGCCTATCACCTACTCGCTTATTGCGTCAGACATCTATATAATTCCAGTCGCATATAGCGTCGTTCACATGAAGTAATCCAACGCATTTTCCACCATTATCACCAATCGCCTCCGCAATATCAACTACTTATATCAGCATCTATTTTCACATTGCGAGCTATATACACGACATATTTGCAAATAAGATCAGTGACGACGCTTCATCGCATTTCTTGCCCCTTCAAGTGGCCTTTCCTCATAGCCGACTGACCAGATATTGTACTGTCCAACTACTGCTGCGCAATCAAGGCGAACCTACCGCAGGCGCATTGATATCACTATCCATCATGGCGGCACCCAATATGCCGATTCGTCTTTCGGTCCACACTGGCACCCAAGACGGCAAGCACCCCCAGCTTCCAAAAGGGTCACAGCCAACCCCTCCAATTACCCCAACTATCGGTCATGACAGCAGTTCACCTGGAGCCGATACCCCCAGTCGCTCAGTATCTCCTGTGTCCTTTTCAGGAGGACACCTGCATGACATTTTACCATCTGACCTTCAGACTGTAACCGCGCCACGCAAGTTCTCCGACGATTTGGAGTTTCAGTATGACTCCAAGGGCCGCAAGTTCGAGTTTGGCCGTGGCGTTTGGAGTGTTGTTTACATGGCATCCTCCCGCGCATCTTCCACCCCAGCTGCACTGAGCCCTCCAGGCTCGCCCGCATCTGGAAGCCGCGTGGTGGCCGTCAAAATGCCTGGGCGACGCGATGCACCTCCAGTGCTTGACACCGAGGCCCTAGCACTGACCCGTCTGAGCATGGTTCCTGGTTGCGAGAACCATATCGTGCCATTCCACGGCTACATTGCGGATTCCCATGCCATCGTCATGGGCGCCGTGCCGCTTGCACTCTCAACCTACATTGAAGAAAAGGCCAGTGCAGCCAAGAAGCATATATCCACCTCCACGATGTTTGATCCCGTTCAAGGCATGGCCGAATGGCACGGTCTCGCGAAGAAGCTTGTCGCGGGACTCGCTTGGCTCCATAAAGGCGCTCAAATGGTTCATGGTGATATCAAACCTTACAACTTTCTGTTGCGCCCCCGCCCTATTGCCAACGACTCGGATTCCGACGAATTCCCCTTTGAGCCCCTCTTCGCAGACTTTTCCTCTGCGCACCCCATCGGCGACTGCGACTCCGCAACCAAGGGCACGGCGCTGACAGCCCTGACGCCCCCATTCACCGCCCCCGAACTCCTGTCCATCTCGGCGCTCAAGTCCCCCGACGTCGTCCCGACTCCAGCGTCAGACGTCTTCTCGCTCGCGGTGACTCTCCTCGCAGCCGCGACGGGAGACTTGTTACTCTACCCAGGCACGAACAGCATGCAGCGTCTTGCCATGGCCCGTGAAGGACACCAAGTTATCGACTTTGCTCGTTCGGGCCAGAGTGGCGCTCGCATTCCGAGAAAGGGCATTGTCGAGCGGATTATCAAGCCTGCCATTGCTAAGGATCCGCCCCAGCGCATCGATCCTGCCGACTGGCTGGGGCTGGTGGTAAACACCATGACTTGATCTTTCAGACTTACCTCCTTCATTCTCCAATTTCCTAGAACTCCAATCCTGAATGATCTGACGCTTCTGCCTCTCGTCTCTACTTGCCTTGTCTTGGCTATGGCCTTCGCCCTTGTCTTTATACTTTTCTTTCTCTTTCTCTTCTTCTCTTTTTCTCTTCTTCTCTTTTTCTCTTCTTCTCATGTCTTAAACAAAACCTTATAAAGGATACCCGATTAGATTTTCATAGATTCTGGACCATTTTGACGTTGATGCGATATACTTTTCTTTTCTTGTCATGGCTGCTATGTCGATACGTTGGGTTCTGGGTTTACAGTGTACGATCATGTTATCCGCTTGCTATGTGTGATAATCATCCTTGCCACGAGGGGTACTCGTGTTGTATCCAATAGGCCAGTCCAAAAATGCCATGTTGTATTACTATCCCTAAAAGTCTGGGAGTATATTCCATGTATACGTCCATTCCTCGTCTCCAGGCCAACCCGCCTTTTCCTTAGGGTACGACGGCCATGGGCAATGCCACGGGTAGATGTGAGGTGCCTCTGCTACTCTTTTATATGGGACTTTTGATCCAGTACAACTCAGCAACAAAAGGTATCGCTTTGGAGTTACGAGGATCCCGGGTAAAAACCAGGCTCCGAAAGTCCTTGCTCTCAGGAGATAATTTCTAGTTCTTAGGGTAAAGATAAGCTCCAATAGCTAGCAGATACTATCGGATCGCTGGGGTACCTCTTCGTTGCTATTTTGTGTCGAAGCTCAGATCACTATATTCATGGAAGGGTCCTCATATGGCTGTGGTTATCTGGTGGCCATGGCCCTAGAGGCATAGGGTGATTTGGTCTGTAGGTGACCAGTTGATGACGATGATGTATCTATTGACGATGGTAATGGTACAAGTCGATTATCGTAATAGTACAAGGTGAGTATGGTACAAAAGACAATGCTATCTAAGCTTCTTAGGTTCGACGCTATATTCGCCAGCTCGGAACGAGGTCAACGTCCCCCCAAGCAAACGATTCAACTGCACCATGTTGACCTCCGTATTGTTATCTTTCTGATACTCCAGGATAATCTCCCACAGGGTGATAGGGGAAAGACAGCGGATCCGCACGTCGGTCAGGTCATAGTCAAGGTTCTCCTGGAAATTAGACACAGGGTCTAGTGGTTTGCCGGGGTCTTCTCCCGGCCGACCGTGGACGGTTTTGGGAAGATCGTCAAAGTTGGGCTTGGGCGTTCTGGTCGCATGCGTTGCTAGGCTAGGGATGGCGCGAACGAGGTCGTTGATGGGCCGGCTAGGGAAGAGAGAATTGAGGAGCTCGGAGACGGGCATTGCGCCGCGGCTGCCGAAAATGAGAGAGACGGCCTCGTAAATGCGGTACAGGTTGGCTCTGGAGGCTTCGTCGACCTGGTGGATAAGGCGCGTGATGGGGGAATCGGCGTCAGCCTCGAAGTAGATCATGGTCATGTCAGTATCTCTCGGGTAGAGTTCCTCGGGCTCGATGTGGAGGGGCTCAAACGGGCGCCGGTCCCAGAAGAGGACAGCCTCATCGAAGGTGCCGGTGGAGAGCGCGCTGCGGGCGTCGTCGATCATGTTCGGGACGTGGTGGAGGACCTCGAAGTGGACCTCGGAGCTTAGCTTGGTGATCTCGGCCCTGAGGGAAGCGATCTGGTCCAGAATCGGCTGGAGAGCTTGCAAGTTGGCGGTGGGATCCGCAGCCTTACGCGACAGGGACCGGTTGAGCTCATCTATCTTGATCTGTTTGTGTGCCAGCTCTTTACGAAGATATGAGTTCCGATTGTCATATCTCAATTGGATGAGTGCCCTTTGTTTCTTTTTCTTCAAAGCGGTATCACCGGGAGATTCCTCCGCAGTCTTAATGGTTTTCAAGATCCTGTCGTGCATATCGGTTTTGATGCGAGGGACATAGGGATAAGGAGACTGCCCCGGCTCAGGAGCCTCTGGAGCCAAGGGGATCGGCGGGACCTGTCGTCCTGCAGGAACTACAATATTGTTTTGCGCGCTTCTTTCAGCGACCCGTGCCGCGTTGGCAGCTGCTAGGTCCCATCCCTTGGCCATAGTCCAGGTGCTTTGATCCTGGGTTGATGCGACTTCAAAGGCGTGTAATGCGACATTTTCCGTTACCAAAGCCGGACGGCTACGGTGGGACACTGATCGTGGAAGGATCGTCTGCGCCTCGAACAAAGGAAGTGTAGCAATAACACGGACACTTCCATATGTATGGAGACCGGACTGCCGCATACAGGCCTCCATGAGGGCCGACCATGACCGCGCCGGTGTGTAGTGATCTAGTTTGGAAGCGTTCGGAGGTACATTGGCCAAAACCAGTAACGCGTCGTTTTTAGCCAACACGCCCGAAGCATCGCAGTTGGAGAATCCCTGTTCTGGTAAATGTTCGGCGAGAAAGCCGTGCCAATCTTCATCGAGATCGTGTATATCTTGAGAAACTAAACTGTAGCAGGGTTTGCTTTCGGCAAGAGCCTTGAGCATCGGTCCGAAGACTTTGATATTGGGTTCCACAAGCACATGGCGTCGAGGGCGCAGAAAATCGTTTACCTTGGACGACCATAATCCAGCACCGGGCCTGAGATCAAGGACATCCACTGGAGCTTTTCGAAGGAGATACGGCCCGAGGCGTTGAAGGATGTCATCTGCGACAAGGCGTATCAGCATCGCTCACGGAAGTCGTTTTATTCTCATTCCACATCACTGACCACATAAGCTCTCGCTGACAATCTCCGGTTTTTGTAGCCTCTTTCTCTTCAATGGGTTGGGTATCTGCTTCTGCAGAAGTCCTGTCATCGGAAATCGAGCGAGTGGCGCCCATCGGTTCGGTTTCATCTTGCTGATGCGCGCTCAGTGCGACTGAATGAGATTTAGTCAGTCAGATATATCACAGTAAAAACAGTCAAACCCGCACAGCAGCTCCATGCTGATTTGTGGGTAGTCTTCCAGTTTGAATAAAATTATCTAAAGTATGCAAAAAAGATGTCGGAGAAGTGATAGCGGAGGAGGGGAGCTTTGAACTTGAAGCTCTGCCGGCGGGATCAGAAGTAGTCAAGTTTCCCATAACATCAAGTCCCACCCTTCATCTGAACACCTTCATGCGTATCGCCTATCCTTCCATCTCTGACTTTGATCCTCTACTTTTCCAGTGTTGTGACGACAAACCCCGTCTCTACCGTCTGAGATTCCGTGCTACCAAGGTCTGGCTGCCTAAATGAGGCCTCCCCCACCATAACATCAGCTGGTCGTTGCGCCAGAACTGAATCACAGCACTTTTGACCTGATCGTTCTCGTTTCTGAAATTACCTGGACTGGGACCATCAGATAACAAATTTCCGGAAGTCTGGCCAATAACGTCTACTTGTCCAAGCACATCATGGCTTCGCATCCACCCACACCCGGCATGGGAGCGTCACCACCTCAGAGCGTGGAGAAGATCACACGGATTGCGCAAGACTACGAGTACAACCCCCTTATACCGCTACGAAACTGGCTGAGGACCGCATCCACACTCCTCAGAGAGGTAGGATACCCAGCAACCTTCTCCGCTTTCAACACTAACTTTTGTGCTCCATCCTAGGCTCGAATATACGAACGGGAAGGCCATGACGAGCAAACATACCTACTGTTATTTCGACACGCACAACTCGTACTCGTGAACCTAGCAAATCACCCAGATGCTAAAGATGAAAAGTACAGAAAGGCTCTCATGGAGGCCGAGAAGGAGGTCCGGATTAATCTCGGGAAATTAGAGGCGCTGAAACCCCGGATCAACAAACGATTTGAGCGTTATGCCCAATTGATGCGCGAACGTCAATCTCGGACTTCGCATCAGGAGACAACCTCGCCGAACCAGGCGCAACCATACGACCCCGCGTTGGCGGGAGTAGTCGAGCCTTTGGAGGCAGGGAAGAACAGAGATTTGGCAGTGCAGCTTGCACGAACGGAGATTAGCCGGAGGGCGACCGTCAGGAAAGCCTTGCGCCAGGCTGGTGTGTCACTAGACGAGGAGCAAAGTCGGCGTACGGCGGGTGTCTGGAACAATTGGGAAGATGCTATAGATAAAAGTGGACGCGGCATGGACAATGACCTGAGCCGCCGGATTCAAGATGTGAGACTCAACATCGACCAGCAAACTCACACGAACTCTCGTGCGCTGCAAATGAAACCTGCACAGCCGTCCACTAGCACGTACAAGTATCCCTCCGTCCCTCGAACAAAACCGCTGGAGCCTTTGCCATCTGCGTCGACAAACGTGTCCCGAGATGGAAACAACTTGCGCTCGGAAGCTCCATTGCCACCGCCAAAGGAGCGATTCGAATCAAGCCATCCGACATTTACTGACGGAGCGTCCCCACCACCACTGCCCGACAAGGTCTCGTCGACCCCAGCTCCGGCTGTTCCAGAGAAAGGACAGCCATTGGCAGATGGCGGAAACTTACGTCCAGACTTGAACCCCTCCAGCTTCACATTCAAGCCGTCGGCATATCTAGAAAACGGGACACCGTTGCGCACCATGTGGTTGCCTCCCGATCTACGAACACATTTTCTGGCCGTAGCGGCTCCCAACACGCGTCGCAACCTAGAGACATGCGGCATCTTGTGCGGAACTTTGATTTCGAACGCACTGTTTGTCTCCAGGCTGCTTATTCCAGAACAAACGGCTACGTCAGACACATGTGAAACCGTAAACGAGTCTGCAATCTTCGACTACTGCGATTCCGAGGATTTGATGGTGCTAGGCTGGATCCATACGCACCCCACACAGACTTGTTTTATGAGTTCCAGGGACCTCCACACGCATTGTGGATACCAAGTGATGCTGCCTGAGAGCATTGCGATCGTTTGCGCGCCGAGCAAATCCCCTGATTGGGGTGCGTTCCGACTCACTGATCCCCCGGGGCTTAAGACGGTCCTGAACTGTACGCAGAGTGGGTTATTCCATCCCCATGCGGAGACTAATATTTACACCGATGCGCTGCGACCCGGTCACGTCTTTGAAGCCAAAGGGTTGGAATTCGAGACCGTGGATCTTCGCCCAAAGGAATCCCGGGTTTGATGTTTGATGTTGCGATGTACTATGCATGATATGGCTTGCTATTATGATACCATCTCCAGTGATTTGCATTTGCCCTCCGCTTTAGAATCATTGCTATGTCTAGCATACATTGCATTTTTACGACAAGAAGATGTTACTGCTTTGCTCGTACCACGACATCCCTTATAGACTGGCAGTCAATTAATTTATCAATTGTACGACAGGTTGAGATTACCTACTCTACCATCTCATTACAGGTCCCAATCACCACCATGAGCTTTGGTCAAGTAGGTATGCATGCTCTCCATTCCTTTATACAATATCGTACATTACACATACATCTTTCATCCAACCTGGCCGGTGGCTTCGACTCATCCACTCATTCCCGCAAAATCCTGCTTCGAGACCAAGACCGAGACGGGGCGCGGGAGCGCGATCGAGAGCGACGCCGCGCACCAGAACCTGCGCTATACTGACGCCTTCGCTCGGGAGTGGGCCGTCGCCGAAGTCGCGAGCCCCTACGGTTCCCCGGAACAGTAGTCGTTTGCTGTGTGGCTCGTCTGTCTGCCGGACCAGCGGTCATATTGATATTTCTTGTTCTTGGCCCGATGGATCGTTCAAAGGTATGTTGCTGAGCGCACGAGCGATAGTTGATAATTCCTTGCAATAAAGGTCTCAATTTGCTATGGATGAATGCTTGCTGTGCGCTTTGATGCTGAGAACTGCGCATCAATATATAGCGGCTGCAGCTGGGGCGAAAGTCACTATGGCGTCGTTTGCCTCATTTCGGAGGTACAGTCCGCCTGGCCTCTTAGCATTTTATATGTGTCTGAACCATGGCTTCCTTGATGCCTCCGAGAATATGGAAATGGGAAGAAGAGACCAGAGGGAAGCGGGTGGTGGCTATCTAGATCGGTCACAGCTGTGAGATAACCTATCAAATCCAGTCAGTTCGTTCGTATTGAACGTCTGCTTCTTACAGCATTCAAAAATGAACATGAACACGTTCAATCGCATTGCTATATATTGTTTTGATTTGTCAACTGGCTTTCTACCGAGGATGGCCGTAAGCTTGGTGATCATGCCACCACTTGCCATCCACAGAAAGTAGTGTCGGCATCAGCATTGCTTGTTTGCCATTTCTCGTTTGTCCTCAACAAATAGTAGAAAGCATCTGAATTAAATCCAGCAATGTCTGAGGAAGATAGCAGCATACCTTAAATGCGCATCATTCCTTGAGGCGGATGGAAGCGATAGGAATTGGGATCAACAGCTGCGTCGTCGTCTCCCCACATTACCATTATTAAAGCCATCATCATCATAATCATCATCATCTCCACTTGAGCTGTTTCACTTTTGCCTGTATCTTTTTTGTCTCCTCTCTTGCATACTTCTCCATAGCTTTCTCCATCTCAATTGAACAGAGTCCTTAATGCTCTCCTCCATTCGTCTATTCCTTTAGATACCCTGACCTGCTGAATCTCTTCTATCGCCGTCCGCATGTCGCCCCTCTCGAAGGGAGATTCGCCCTCATCGACTGCCACCCCACCCTTGTCCTCATCTAGCTCGGCATCAGGATCTCGCACTCCGAAAGCAAGCACTCCCTTCAATCAATCGGCCGCATCCTACTTCTCATACCCTGTCACACACGTCGTCTCAGGACTCTACCGCCGCTTAACAGATCCCAACATCGCCAAAGCATCACGCAAGGACAGCAACGGCCCCAAGGGGAACATGAACGCCAGCAACAAACACAGCCCGTCCACAACTTCCCCAGATATCTTCGTCCCTATCCGCACCGCATCACCCTTCCAACCACCACCCCTCACGCCACTAACCCTCACCCCCGGCCCTGGTATCCCCCAACAACAACTCCTCACCCGCGCCCTGGCCGAAGAAATCCGCCTGCTGGTCCCAGCCCGCCTCCAGCTCGTCGACACCTGGCGCCTAGCCTACAGCCTCGACCGTGACGGCGCGTCCCTCACAACCCTCTACGAGCACTGCCGCGAGTTCTCGCACCGCAGCCCGCGGGCGGGCTACGTACTCATCGTCCGCGACTCCTCCCCCGCCGGTGCCGTCTTCGGCGCCTACATGACCGATCCCCCACACCCAGGCTCGCACTACTTTGGCACGGGCGAGTGTTTCCTCTGGCGCGCGAGCGTCCTGCCCTCGCCGACGAACCTGCTGAATATCCACGGCCCCCAGTCCGAGGAAATGCTAGAGCGCGCGGGCCTGCCGTTGCCCCCCAGTGCGGATACAACGCATGCGGGCCGCTCGACAACACTACGTGGTGACTCAAGAGGTCACGGCGATGGCCGTCTCGCGGCGCCGCAGGCCAATGGCGGGACTGGGGCTGGGGCGGCGAGTGGTGCCAGCACGCCTGAGAGGATCCGTTTCAAGGCCTTCCCCTATAGCGGCGTGAATGATTACATGATGTTCTGCGAGACTGGCTTCCTTAGCTTAGGTGGCGGGTGAGTTCCTTTCCTCCAACGTACCTGGTGCGTCACTGGTAGACGAAAGTCGGCAGCTAATGTGCAACAGAGACGGCCATTACGGGCTATGGGTAGACTCGAGCTTGGAAAAAGGCGTCAGTGCTTCGTGTCAAACGTTCGGGAACGAGCCTTTGTCCGACGAAGGGGTCAAGTTTGACGTCCTCGGTGTGGAGGTGTGGTATGTCGGGGCGTGAGTTCACGGGTCCCAGGTCTCTCTTACGCTTTTCTTCCGTATAATACCCTGCTGCGATGCGTGCTGGTTCTCCATCGTGCCATAGTCCTGATTGCATTACTTCGATCTTGGCATCTTAATTGAAGAAGTGAAAGGGGGAGAAGATGAAACCTAGTAAGATAGCTGAGCGTGAAATCCACGCTCTAATGTGGCTGTAGCAATTCCATAGATCACAGTCATATTCTTCCTAGCTACATAAGCTAACTATTGTAAAGATAGGTCATGCTAACATCTGATGTCAAAGCATGAACCGGCCACTAACCTTCCTTCGCGTACTCCATTGCGGTACCATCATTACAGCGATTGACAATTATTATTTTAAATTGAGAAACAGGCAATATGGGTGAATTAAATCTGGATGAAAGACAGAATTGTAAAGACGAAAAGACAACAGCAGGGGGTATGCGGTCAATAACACATCAAAGAAATCATAAAATGATACACAAGAGAAAGTTCATCAACCTGGCGATCCCAAGTATCTAATAGGGAGAATTGACAATATCATCTCTTCCCAATCGGCTGCCCCATCGAGTGCTACGACGGCTTGGCGTCACAGGAGGCCCTGCAATGCTTTCCCGAGTGGGTTTCTGGAAAGTCCTCTTCGCGACCATGTTGACTTCATTCGGAAGGGCAACAATGACGTTCTTGTCCGAGCCAAATCGGAAGTTATCCGCCTTGACATCTTCTGCATATCGCTTGATGGTGTAGGGGTCTTTCCGGCCGGCAACCACCTTCTTCAAGCTCCAAGTGACAATGAAAGGGCCAGTGGCAGTGACAATAGATGTCTCCTGAGAGTCAACACCGGTGTTGAAACGCGCTGGAGTGAAAGAGATGGGTTTCTTAGTCTCATGCTGGAACTGGGCGACGTGCGCAGGAGTAAGACCTAAACGGCGAGGCTGTGGTTTCGAGTCTTTGGCGAAGGAGCGCTCGAACCCAAGCTTGCCTTCGTTCTTGCCTTCTTTCTGGAGCGAGTCGATGAGCAACAGGTAGGTTCGGCAGGTAGCCAAGACCCAGCGGCCATCGGCAGACACATCCAGTCCGATGATGGGCTCTCCCAAAGCAGGTATATGCGTCTTGGCATTGATACCCAAGCGGTCAAACATGCGGATATCGCCCTTATTGGAGGCCACAGCAATGTATCCCTTCTCAGTGGTGGCCACCGCAGAGAAGTCGTTCTTGCTCGCGTACTGTTTCAGGTCCGCATCTACCAGTTTGGCTCCTGCCAATCGAGGATCAATGCGGTAGAGTGCATTCTGTGAGACACCAATGAATGGCTGAGCGGAGGTCATCTGGGCGAATTTCTGCAAGACGTCAGTTAGATCAACGGCGTCAAACGAATAGGCGTAGAGAAGGTAAACTTACATTTTCGGGTGCGAATGTGGTCACCGGGATATCGTCATGCACCTTCCATTCATCAACGACCTTGCCGTACTCGAGATCCATACGGTACAGCGAGTGCGGGTCATCGCCATTCTGGAGGATCATATTGCGATCCTCAGCATGCAACATGACCTTCTTCGGGCTGAAAAGCTTTCCCTTAGGCGTCTCCACCTTAGAAATATTGGTCGAAAACTCCAGGTTGTTATCTGCTGTATGCCTGAAAACCCCGATCTTAGATCCACGGACAACGAATGATCGATCGTGCTTGTAGCCGACTGCCAGTTGAGAATTGACATTGCCATCATCATCACGCGTGATGACATCCTCCTGCTCTTCGTCTGAATCGTAGTGCTCGCTGCGTTGGCCTTCGTCCTGCTCTTCCTCCTCTTCATCCTCGGCCTCGGCCTCCTCCTGCTCTTCGGTCTCGGCATCCTCCATTGTAAGATCCTGAAAAGCATCCAGCACGTACTCGCGATCATTCTCCTTGACCTTGGTCCATTTCATTTCGTTCAGCTGTTCCCAAAGGGCCTGCATTAGGCCCTCTTGAAACCTCTGTTCTGTGACCTGATCCTTGAACCGGAGTAGCCATGAGTAAGCGGATCCGTCTTCACCGTAATGATTGAATATGAATGACAGGTATTCAAAATTGAAGACTGGGTTTATGTCCGCAACGACCGCTTGACCAAGCCATTCCTTATCCTCGCCACTGATCTGCAACCAATAATGCCAGGTGCCCACTTCAGAAACAGTGGCAACCACATTGGGATCCTGAAGAATGAAAGTCCCGCTGGTGAAGTCGAAAAGGTGCAATTCCGCCTTTTCCTTTGCGAGAATCTCCTTAGCCTCTGGCTGCGCCGCAGAGGGCGGGGCTACTGTACGTTCCTCCCCTTCCCCAACTGGCTTTATGAGGCCCTTCGACCTCGAATACTCAACATCACGTGCCATGGCAGCGGCGGACTCTCCTGCGGACGCTACCGAGTGTGCGCGCGATTTAACTGGCGAGGAAATTGGACTGGCGGCAGGGATTGACTTCTCTTCCTTGAAGGAGAATTCCTGAAGCTCTTGCTCCGTTGCTCGCTGGGCGCTCTTCCTGTATTTCCTCTCGTACTGACACTGCCACGCTGCTAACTCAAAGGTGGAGACTTTGTCCGCCGACACAGATGCGTCGCAGACAAACTCGAAAAGATCACCGACGTCGCCACTCAAATCGTTCCAAGCTAGTATTTTCGAACCCCCTTCGCGGGCTTCAACACGGAAGTGCAAGCCTTGGTCAAGCAAGAATACCTTCTCGTCCTTGTCTAGATTGTCGCTGGCGCCTTGTTCATCCTCGTCATCGGCAAGCTCCTCCTCACCTTCCTCGTAGGCGCGCTGAATGACGAGTTGATACTGAAACTCCTGACCGGTGCGTCGAATAGTAGCTACGGCGTCTTTGAAAATGAGCTCCGAGTAACCCTTTGGAGAAAGAGGGCGGACCAAATACAGCTGGCCTTGAGGGATCTCGATAATGGATTCTTTGGAAGTGTCTCCAAATAGGAACTTGCTCACTGTGATGTCACCAACATTAGTTAGCTGAATGTCATGATGCACAAGAAATTATCCCAAAATGGATATGAGGTAAAGTAAGGAGGGGTAGATGGCGGGGTAGAGTGAACGACTTGGTAAATGTTGGAACAAAGACAGAAGTGAGAGAACCCACCGTTACGGAGCATGAACATAGCTGTAGAGTTCAGAAGGCTGCTACCTTAATAAGGAGCAGCTGATTATTCCTTACTAGTACGTAGTGCTAAGAGGCACGCAGTCGGCAAGGAAGGTAATGTCAGGGGGGCAAAAACAAAAGGAAAGAACAGATTCTGCGGAAAATAAAAAGAGTGCTCTAATAGATGAGATCCAACATCACCAGAAATAATGATGAAATTCAGCAGCGGATCTCTTTTCCTGAGAACTAATCCTGTTGAATGTCTGGCTCTTGTGATGCTCGTTCTTGCAAAAGGAAAATCACCACATGTTTTCTTTCTGTTGATCTGCCGTCATCGATCGGCTCCTGTGGCAACCAGTGTGGCGAGAGATTGTGGCTGTGCCTCTCAAGTGGCAGATGAGACTAGCCGTATATGGATTATGGTAGGCATAACTATTGGAATAGATATCTACCATTAACAGGTATTATTGTGCTGGATAGGTAGATCATTCATACATTAGTGGTGTACATAGCATAATAGGACAGAATATATACAGAGTTAAGTTACCTGAATAAAAACACAGGTTACTCTTTGTCCGCTTCGCCTGCTTCATCCGCAGCATCTTCTCCATCTGGCCCGGCCTCCGCAGCTTCGACACTCTCCCGTGCTGCTTGATCTTCAGACTCATGGTCTGCTGATCTCAACTTGCCCCCTTTCCTTTGAGGAATTACTTGAATAAATGCTTTCCCCCAGTCACCCAGCTCCAACCACCGGATCATAATCTCCACGACATGGTTCGTTGCCAGTACCTGACGGTGGGCCATCTGAATATATTCTCCGATGGGTAGCTTGGCGGTCTTGATACCCTTGGCTACCGCGGATTTATAGCAGACGCCCTTGTGGCGGTTCTTGTCCACCAAACCTCCAATAATATATGTGCTGTAGGGCTTCAATTCGGTCAAGATGTTGGGACTGTCGCTGCTGAGGTACACAACCTCTCCATCCTCAGGCTTCGCGTCCGCCTTGTCAGCGAAAACGCCTGCCAGTTCGCCGCCTTTAGGTCCTTGCATGCACTCCTTTGCCATCTCGGCAGCTTCGGCGAAGTCCTCCGGCAGAAACCGAACGCCTTTCCAGTTCTCGTGGGTCTTTCCCAGCACCGTATCGAAACGCTCCTTGAGCAACTTGTTGAATGATGAAATGATCAGATGCGAGCGGAAGGGGGCCCTGCTGTTATCGGAGTAAGATCGCGTAATCTGCGCACCGAGGGATACCCGTTCCTTGTCCAGCATTAGATCGTCGTAACTGCAGTCGAGCACGAGTGTGACTGGGAGCAGAGTCGACCGTTGGAACTTCTTTTGTGTGGGCTCGAATGTCTTTCGAGCTTCTTCTGTAGCCTCCGCGCTCTCTTGTTTCGCATGTTCTAAAGCGGCTCGCCTTCGTTCCCTTTTTGCGACCAGCTTCTCTTTGCGTTTCACTTTGCGGTGTTCCCGCATTGCTTCCCAGTGCTCTTTTCGTTTGAGTTTCTTCAATTGATTCTTGGACAATGCGGGCGGTGCCTCCTTCCCGTGTGATTCTTGCCCCTCTTCAACTCCACCTTGTTCTGCATCGTTCCCGTTTCCATTGTCCGACGTCGAGGCATGGTTGTCGGCATCTGCACTCTCAGCGTCATCGTCCCGAACGGCTCCCACAGCGCCAGTCATGACGGGCTCTGCTTCCTCCCGCGCTTCGTCGTGGTCTAATTTGGGGTATTTTCTAGGCCGCTCGTCATCCTCCATCTTCGATCAATCAAGTAAGGAGAAAATACGATTGATTGAAGGTCCGCCGTAATGAGACTCAAAATAAATCTACCGCCCTCCAATGTAATCGAAGGGAAACCCCAAAATCGGAAAAAACCCTCCCGCAACCAATCACAGCACCCGCAGCCCTAATTACTCAATCCCGATAGCCATCACGTGACCCAAACTCCAACTTCATCCGCCAGCATCATCGGCCAATCTTCCATACGCCTGTTCCAAAGATCTCCATTCCCAGTCGTCACAATGCCTCAGGACATGCCCCCATCGGGGGGCTATGCGCCTGTCCAGTACAAGGCAAGTTCTCAATTGCGAATTCCAGCGCAAAAACCCAATCCACCTGTCGAACTAACCCAAACCACAGCGCAACCTCCCTGCCCGCGGCTTCCGTCCCATCTACTACCTCGTTGGAATGCACCTCTTCATGGCCTACGGCTACTACAAGCTCTTCTATGGTATTCGCGAACAGCACGAGCTCGCCCGCGAGAAGATCTGGTCCCGACTTCACCTGGTCCCGTTGCTCCAGGCCGAGGAAGACCGTGACCAGGTCCGCAGACACTTTGCCGACAAGGCCCGTGAGAAGGAGCTCCTGGGTACGGAGAGCAAGGTCTACAACTCTGATCGGTATGTGGAACCCATGAGATTGGTTTTCGGTATGGTACAGTTGACTGACCTTGTTTTCCCTTGCGTGTGCTTTAGCTTCGTTCGTCCTACTTTCGTCTATACCCCTTCCAAGGTCACTCAATAAATGGAATGATATTTGTTACGAGCTGTGATGCCAGGCTTAATCGTCTCTATACTACGCCAGATGTCATGATTCTGGTGCCATTACACGATTCTGAGGGCATTGAGTGGTGCATTAAATGCCGCTTGTCTTAGCGGTGTTTCACGGGAGTCAGAGATGTCTGGGGAGTCTTCAAGAAAACGTACCCTGTAGATATATTGCCTCTGGGGAGTTTGCCTAGTTTTGCAATGCATTTCGTTTCTTTTCCGTCTTCCACACATGCCTTTGCCGTCGAGTCCAACAGATGTATCATGCCAGCTTGTGGCTACTACGTGAAATTTCAAAATCGAATAGAAAGCAATCTATTTAGCTCTATTCTTCTGATAACATTGAAAGGTAATTATAGGAGAAAATAAGTACAGGCAGGAATCAGAAATCGAGCCTCTAGTACTGTACAGGACGAGTAGTTCCGAACACGAGGGAGAGGGCCAGTCGTTGGCGGACACCTCTAACCAAACATGTCGGCAACACCACCCAAATCAGGTCCGTCATTAATATCAACTTTGCTGATTTGTTGGCCTTCCATGTCGTTGCTCATATATCTCTCTTGCAAGGCACTCCGTGCCTTGCGGCGTTCTTCCCGGGAACCCAAAATCTTGCCTTGCTCCGCAATACTCACGCCCCTGAGGCCTTCAAGAAGGTCTAGCACGAGTGCACGTTGCTGCCGTGCTGCCGTAGATCGTAGAAGCGCGGCTTCTGTACTTGCCACCCGTTGTTCATCCATTCCAGGAAGGCTGAGGATCACCGAGCGTGGTGTTGGGCTACTCGACCCATAGAGAACCCAAATTGACGCAATCAGCTGGGCTAAATCTTTCTGCATGTCAACAAAGTAAGGCTCATGTACAGATGTAATGCAGGCCTTGAGGACTTCCGAGGAAATGAACTCGCGGATCGTGACTATTGTTGGGCTGTGATTTGGAGGCGCGAAGTCCTGCAAGATCGACCGGATAACACGAGTGATGATGCTGCAGCACCTTGTATCTCGCATTCGAAGCGCATGTGTACAGAAGAGCATGACAGGTTCGAATATTTCCGGCGAAGAAAGAACAAAGTGCCGAATCGAGTCGGAAAGTGCTGGGGGTGGCTGCGGTGCGCTAGGCTCAGCTGGCTCGTCGTCCGGATCTGCAATGAATGTTAGTCTTATGTCCTGCAACAAATTGTCACGACATCAAATCACACACCGCCTCTTTGCGGATCCAAAAGACTTGCTACCATGAGCACCGCAGAATAAGTCAACTGGCGAAGGATACTCTCTGACTTCATTTCGTCAGTCAAATCCCCGTCCGCAAGTCCCTCTTTGCGTTGCTCGATAAGGTCCCATTCCGCTGTGACTTTCCTATCAATGTTGGTGAAGAGCGTTGCCAACATAGGAGGAAGGAACTGTGCTCGGAAACGGACAGGGCAATCGTCGATCAAGCACCTGGAAATATTGAGGAGAACAGAGAATTGGTGAGAGGATAAGTGTGGCGAGTCTTTAAAGAGAGCTTGCGAGAGAGGTTCTGGAAGTTCTGCAAACCCATAGAAATGCTCTCTCAATCTGCTCATGCTGAACAGCATTGAGTAACAAGATTCCCGAACAGCCCTAACCTTACCTCGAACGGAGGAAGCGAACCCTTCGAGCGAAGACCGCGATGCAGTTATCTTCGCATAGAACTCGTCGCGGCTGCCAGTAGATATGCCAGCCTGCCAGAACCGGTCGGTCAGGATACGTTCGACGACACCTCGCATATCATCAGGCAGGCCACCCCAGTTCGCCGGATTGTGGAAGGCATGAGCATTACTGCCGAAAATACGTCAGCTAAGCACATCTAACGGTATGGGGTACATGCCTGACAAGCTGTAACAATACCGGCAAGATAATGGGAATGACGTCGTGCCAGATATTGCAAGCAAGATCATAAGCAAGATCGGTCTTCTTTAATTTCTCAGTGGAGACTGCGAGCATGGTCTTTGTTCCCCTCAGAGGTAGTTGCTGGAGTGCGAGTTAGTGCAAAGTTAGGTCCCAAATGTGAGCATAAACTCAGTACCTGAAACTTTCTTGTCATAGTTTCCTGGATCTGCTTCCCCTCATTATCCAGCGGCACTGCGGACCAGTCTTCCATCTTCTGCGCTTGTTTCTTTTGCATATAGGGCCCAACATTTTGCAGCCCAAGCATGCCACAGAAGCCCTCGAAGGAGGAGCTTGTGTTCCGAAATTCTTCTTCTTGCCAGGCTTGCCTGATAGGTTCCAGAAAGGACTTCAGCCGGGTTTCACGCAGATATGGATCGACGTTGTTGGCACGTTGCCTAGCTAGTTAGTCCAGTGCTACAAGGACGGAAAGGGGATCCGAGGTGTCATACATGATAATGAGGAGTATCGAGGTATGCTCCATGTGGAGTTTGTCGTCCACCCGGTTGGCCATGGTGATTTCCTTGATTTTCGGCTCAAGCAGATCGTAGAATGTCTTCCAGCTTCTTGTTAGTAAAAACGCGTTCCAAAGGCGTTGGAATACAACTCACAGAGAAATAGTCAGCATAGCGCATAGCCAGGCGTCGGAGTTCATGGCTGGCCAGACCATGAAGTTCCTTCACAGCTTCAGAGTAAGCCGGGTATTCAACCAGGTCAGGAAGACGAGTCATGAGAATATGCTCAAGGACTTTAAGTGAAAAGCTGGGATTCTTGTCAAGGGCTCTGGAGGAGATGTCAACGATAAGCTTGATGATACGCTGTTTCAAAATAGGGTCCTTCAATAGAGAGTCAGTCAAGTAGTCAAGGATGAAGCACAAGATAGAGACGAACCTCGTAGTTTCTCTGCATCAGACTCAAAGCCCATGTCTCAAGCGCACTTTCCAAGTCTATCCGTTTCTGCTCCTGTGCATCGTATTAGAGCCGCAAAAGTGCCAGACCGCAAGTAACATACATCCTGTTGAGGCATTTTGCCATGAGCTGAAACCCATTTGTTATAACCCTTGAGTGTAGCTTCCACAACAGCGAATTGAGTGTCGGCGCGCATCAACGGAAGAGAGTTCTTGGAGAATGTTTTCACTGACGCCTAAGTTAGGATCAACTCTCATCGACAGAACCCGCCACAACTCACCGTCAAATGGCTCAGCCCCATTGTAAAGATTGTCCAAGTTTGCATCAACGCCCGCGAGGATATGTGGAATAGCATCTTGTGGTCTTTTTTGAACAATAGTCTCGATGATGGACGAGCAATATCTTCTGTAGTTTCCAACAAAAGCGTGCCGTTCTGGGACTGTATCAATGTCTTCATTCAGAAAGACTATTGTAGGATTATCAGAGTCCGCTGGTAGCGATTCCCAGCGGATCAGTCGCTCAGTACATATGCTAAGCAATGGAGGAATCAACCCAGTCACCAGATCGGTGTTCCCGATCCTCTCGGACGCAAGTAGTTTGCACCATACGTGAAGGACAGGTATCGACACGGTCAAGCTTTGGTTCTGAATGACGCTGATCAGGAGGTGGAAAAAGAAAGCGAGGTTCATGCCATGTGCGGTCTCAAGAGAGAAGCCCTTCTCCTCAAGGAATCCCGCAAGGTACGAGAGCATCTACCGGACAAATTAGCATGAGATCATGGCAGCTGTCTGGGTGGAGAAGCTCTTACCTCGGATAGTTTTTTGGTAATCGTGTACCTAGTATCATCGATGTCGTCCGGTCCCACGATGGACCACTCGTACAATTTCTGTAGAAGTGTTAAGTACTCTGTTTCATACATCAAGTGCACAAGAGGCTGGAAGTCTTCGATTTCAAAATTCGACCTGCTATAGAGAGCGTGCAGCGCTTCGACGGCAGCCTGGATTAATAGTTCAGCATCGCTCCTTACCGCTCCGGGGAAGAGATCGAGGTGTGCTTACCAACAACACCTGCTCATCGTTGCAGGTAAGGGTCCTTGCGATACTCGAGACACAGTTTGCGGATATGATGGCCTTGGGAATTGCCCAGACCAAGATGGACTTCAATGTCGCAAGGCCTTTGAGCGCTGCGTCTCTGGCCTGCGTGGAGGCTTGCAGGTTCTCAACACAGTAGATGAGGAACTCGCATGTCCTTGCGAGCCAGCCCTCGGTCCCACACCGAAGCTCAACATGGTGCTCGCGCTTTGGATAGATTTCCTCAAAGACTGACAGTGGTGTGCAGATCTCCACTAGTGCTCTGTTGAGATCTGTGCCTCGCAAGGACGAGACGGTGTCTTCGCGGTAGAAGATGTCTTCTGACAATGTTTCCAGAATAGACAGAACAAGTTCCTTGTGTACAAGACTGGCTCCCCAAAACTGCACAAGAATCTCGTCCATTGCCAACCAGTCTAGGCCCCAGCTTCTCTTGGCGATCTCTGCCCATAACTGCGGGATCTTGTTGCGGTAATAGGCCGGGTCCTCTGGCCGGATTGACTCAGCAAGCTTGAGAACAAAGTCTCTGAGGATAGCCACCTGATCGGCGGAGGTGAAAGACGTGTGACGCAGTACATGGTCCAAGAGTGTCAAGCCAAAATAGCGGACCAAGGGGGCGTTTTCTATCCGTGAAGCCAGAAGAAACCCATTACGAGCAGCTAGCTTGCTCTCCTTTTGAGATTCCACGAAGGTCAGGGCTTGCCTGCGGAGTTCATTTGTCGACGAAGGGCTGTGGATGAGCTCCAGTGCCCGAACGAGGTCAGCCATGCCGCCTTCTGAGAGCTCATCTTGGGCGGCCATTCCGTCGACCGGTCCAGAGGCCAATGGTGGTCACTATATAATGGTCGGCTCAGAAAAGGAAGGAAGGTCTCAGTGCCCCACTGGATTCTTTAAGCTCTCACTTCCAATTCAAGCTGCAGTAACAATTCCTGCATCATTCACGCTTTCTGCGCAGTCTTCTCTTTCTTTAGAATTGTTCCAGAAAAAGGAACAATAAATGAGCGGTTTTGGTGTTGTTTGTATGGCGGGCAGAATGACCACCGCGATTCACCGATTCTGCCCTCCGCAGATGCCTGCCTAAAGACGAGTGAGATCTGCGTCTGTCTTAATTTCTCCTTCTTTCTCCAAGATCACGTGAGGGATGTATTTACCCTCGCTGCTCGACGGCACCTCAAGGTCTTATCGTTTAACTTCGTATACCTTATATTGTGCTTGAAGCGGGCGGGAGTTGTTGGATGGATTTCTTGGAGAAAGCGGGAGGACCCAAAATTGCCAAAGAAAGCTTCAGAAAAATTCCACGCGCTCCCGCTCCAATCACCACACCGACTCGGAGGGGGCAAGCTTCACAATCACACCGCTTACAACAACAGGTTGCTACCTTACGATATATGATTGACCCGCCAGAAGCGTGTACTTAATGCTATCATGACGATTTAATGGCAGTGAGACGCCGGTTGATAATACAGCATACTGGGCTGTAACATGAAAATCCGTTGGACAATCTGGCGTACTATGGCCATGTGACCGGAGTGTAGTAGCCTAACAACCAAGAAATGAAGAATGAAGCCGGATTCACTTCCTGAATAGGCAATTTAAATAATGTACAGGTGTACCAGATGAGGCAAGAATTTATGGAGTGGTAAAAAACTAAGGGCTGACTAACGAGGCACGCCTCCAGCAAACAAACATTTCCATGACCATAGCGGGCTTGCCTTTGAAAGCAAATCATCTCTAAATGAAAGGTAAGTCGACCTAGTGATTAGAGGGCAGGGGTGAATAAGCTTGAGAGCTCCTGAGTATGTTGACGGCTTGACTGTATAGCTTCCTCCTCAATAGACAGGCTATTATCATGAACTTCCACGAAGGGAGCGTGATATGCGACAAATCTCATATAGAGATCTCTGACGATGAGTCGTTGGCTCGCTTCGTGACCTCAGTGCGCAGACCTTAAGAGCATGAGGTAGGCGAGAATGTACGTTCTACGCTGTTGTTGGCAGACGCTATTTTACCAGTGTAGGAGATGCCCTAATCTCAGAAGATGTTGGGTTCACTGACAACAATATGTGCGTGGATAGTAAGCCTAACATGCTGCGTGCGCAGGCCGAACGATGTGAGATATGGACCAATCCCGATGTTGCTGCCAGAGGTGCAGCCCACATCAGCACTCGCCTGGCTATTGCTATGCAGTCACGCAACTATGCGAGCATGGATCGGTGCATTAGTCATGCATATATGAATGCACCTATCCCGCAATAGATGAATACACAAAGCATGCATAGATCGAGGATAAGCTCAAGGCATTGTTTGGGGCAGGACGCACAATGCCCCAGCTTCATGATGTGCAACGCTTCGCTCAGCAATAGGCCATTACCTCAGGTAGGAATACATGGCTGGTCTTTGCTTGTCTCAACGACCAGCGCGAGATACCGTTATGGCTGTGCAATCGGCTATCACATAAGTTCATATGCAGTACATATTCACGGGACTCATGCGTTTGGGCGACCAGCACGCCAGTGTCCTCAGGGTCCTTGTGAATGAAGCTGATTCCTGATGGTGGGTCTGGAAAGCACGAGTTGACTAAGCATGGGAAACACACGTCCCAGTGCCCATGTGCAAGTAAGGATTGATTGAGGGGTGTAATGCCAGATGACCGAGTCATCGTTAATAAATGGGCATAATGTATGCTCATAAGCGGGATCAAGAGGCGTTGATCTCATTCAACACAATCCTTTCGGTGACAGACGGTTCTTCTCGATTTCTCAAGGGGTTCCATCGCGTTTCATGGCCTTCTCGCAAGCCTGACGGATCTCAGCCACCCCACTAACGCCCTTCCACTTATCAAGCAGGTTCTTTATCTCCTCCCAATCATTGGTGGCCTCATCGTACTGGCCCTCGGACAGAAGCTTCTCTAGCCGACTTGGTGCTCCAAGAACCCACTGTACCGTTTCCTTCTCTGCCTTCCGACAGTCCGTTCCGTCTGTAGCCTTGGCCTCTCGCATGCGCCGCCGCTGCTCTTCGCCTTCCTGTATCAGACATGTGGCCGTTTCGGCCACAAATGCAATAGCCGGACCGAGAGTCTTCGTCATAGTGAGAGGAGCGCCACGCTCGTCCATACTTCGGCGCATCTTGCCAATTGTTTCCACCGCCCGGATCAGCTTCGAGTAGTTGTCATAGACAAGGGCCTTGCGTTCACTGTCAAGTGTTTTGATATCGCCAACGAGAGTATTCTCCGCCTTGAGCACAGTCGCCAATGAAGAAGTGGCCAACAGGTGACTAACGTAACGCTGAGGATCGAAGTCCGGGCTATCCAGTTCCGTTCCTGTAGCTACTACTGATGACGGACTGGACATGTCCCCGGCATCGGTGTGTCTGGGGACGCTGCGGGAGCGGATGTTGCTTCCATTGCCAGAGGGATCAGCAGCGGAAGGTCTTAAATTATAGTAGTCCCGAAGTGCGGTGCGATTGCGTCTTGGATGGAGAGATGGAGAGACGGCTCTGGCTGTGGACGGAGTAGACGAGGCACTTAGACCTCCGCCGACATTCGTATTCAAGGTGTCAAGAGATGGACGGCGTGACGATACTGGCGTGGGTGAGTGTGCGCGAGAGGAAGCAATCGACGGACGGGGAGATGAGACTGTCGACATCATGAAGACAGGTCAGGACTTCGGATGGTGAGTGGAAGAGGCCAAAGTGAAGTGAACGAGGCCAAAGTGATTATGAAATGTCGACAGTCGGGGGAGAAACGTAAATGATAGGAGAAGGAGTTAAGCGGTGGTCTGTGCTTTCCCCAAACCAAATTCGATCAGAAATCGAGATAGCTTCGGCTTTCAGATATTGATCAGGTTGCAATATGTGCAATCAATATGAGCATGACACGATTTGTGTATACTCCTACGTGTGCTGATTGATTTAAATTTAGCCTGCAGCCAAGATGGCGAGCATCCAAGCGCAAATATCTGCCGAACTCCTCAACAGCAAATCCCTCCCCGTCTCTCCATCCTGGCTGAATAACTTCATCTCCTCATCTGCATCTCAACGCAATGTCCCGCTCTCCGCTATAGTTCGGACCGCTCTATTTCGTATTCTTGCCTCAGATTTCAGAGAATCGCTATCAACAAGGACACCGTCGTCCCTACTCCCTGTTGACATATTCGATACTTCCGTTCAAGAAAGGCGTATACAAGGCCCAATCCCCTTGCAAATAGTGGATATAGAAGACATCGGAACAAGCTTATGGAGCCAAGTTGAAGCGATTGAGCGCATTGAACGCGGCGAGGCTATTCGGGGGCGCGAGATCGTGCGGACAGTCAACGTGGACGAAGACAGTGAGGAGCGCGCAGCACGTACTGGTAATATCAGGGCTGCAAATTCAGCGGCAAGCGGGGCCGGAAGCAATAGCAACGGCCCCCATCGATTGATACTACAGGATGCGGCAGGGACTCGAGCCGTAGCTATCGAGCTGAAACGCGTCGAAGGCATTGGGCTGGGTAAGATACCCATTGGGGCGAAACTCCTCCTGCGTGATGCGACAGTCGCCCGGGGTATGATTCTACTGACGCCTGAATCTGTATCCCTGCTTGGGGGCAAAATTGAGACCTTGGACCAAGCCTGGAAAGAGGGAAGAAAGGCCAAGTTAACGGCTCGGATTACAGAGATGGAAAGGTCGCAGGCGTTGTGATCGCAAACATAAAATCTATGGGGCACTGAAGCAGCACGTCTGGAGACCTAGTGACTTTCCCTGCACGATCTCCGTTCGTGAAGAAGGCAGGCCCGGACCATCTAAGTCTACATATCAAGTAGCCCCTAATCATAATACTCGATCATGCCTATGGCTCTATCCACCAGGTAGATTGTATGTCTTTCCTGAATGTGGATGTCCTTGTGCATTCGTGGCCTTGCCGGAACCGAGGAAAGATGCCGTTAATTCTACAGGAATGGCCACAGGCTAACATTGCTATGACTCTACCTTGACCGAAAAGTGCCGGAAACAAGGGCTGCTTTACTCTAAAAGAATAATCATAGCATTGATTGATCATGTACGCAAGGTACGTATTTCTAAACATCTAAAGTGTCTAATATCTACAGTACAACGTTCCCTTAGGCCGTCAAAAAGGTTAGACTAATCCTGACACAGCATGCTTGAGCTCTTCCCAGCCACACTGCTTCCATGGTGCGACCATAATCGCCTTGATCGCATCACCTGCCTTGCCAGTCTGTGCATACGCTTCACAGAGGTCGACAGCATCGAGATTGCTTCGTGGTGGAACGCTTCGCAATGCTCTGTCAACAGCCATCTCCGCGGGATACAGTTCCTGAGATGCTGCTGCTAGCTCCTGCCAGCCCTGCGGCTGACCTGGCGACCTCATGACGGCAGCCGTAGCCTCTCCAAGGCGTCTGAGGTCTTCTGGAATTTGGGAGTCCTCTGTCAAGCCCAATGTAGAGATTGCTGTCAACAGCTTAGTCAACCTAGTCCGGTCGTGGATATCAATGTCATCTCTTGTGATCATGTTCTGAAGATCTGAAGCAACTGCTTCGATGACGTCCTTGTCGTCATCTAGTAGCGCAATAGTTCCCAAAAGTGATACCGCTCCAACATGGTCAGGGTGTTCTTCCACACAGTCAAACAGCTGCTGGCGAGCCACGGTCCGCTCCTCGTCACCACCCTTGGCCCACAGAACCTGTGCTAGAAGACATACCACCTCCGGTGCATTATCTGCCTCTTGCAGGGCGTCGCGGAACATGTCAATCGCGTTGTCCATTGACTTCAAGTAATAATGCGCCAATCCAGCAGTGAGATGAGCTGACAGACGTAGTTTTCTGTTTGCCTCCGGGTCGAATCTCTTCCCGTCTTCTTCACCAGACAGGGTAAGTGCCATTTCCGCTTTCTCTACTGCTTGCTCAAATTCATGGCGTGCAAGAAGAACACGGGCCATATCTGCATTCGACTGTGCATATCTAGATAGCGACGAGGTCGATTCAGACACCTCGTATTCCGCCTCGACACCGGAACAGACGACATGCAAACTAGTCTCCGCATCTGAAAGCTCGCCAATTCTCTCGGCCATGAGCGCGGTAAGATGCATAAACTGTAAATTGGACGGGTCTTGAGAGGAAAGCTGCAGGAGCGCGAAAAATGGCTGAATGAGCTGTGATATCTCATTCGATGCTGAAGAGTCTGAGAGGAGGCGGTCGAACAAGGTGATCGTGTACTGGCGTCTCGGCAATGTGGCTGAGGAGTTGGAGATGTCGAAGGCATGCTCAAAAAGACCTCTTGCTTCATGTGGGTCCCCAAATAGCAACGCTAGGAACCCTTGGCCAACCCATGCCAGAGAGTAGTCCGGATCGGTGGATTGCGCGCGCGTGAAAGCTTCATTGGCAAGTTGGATATCATTGTGAATGAGGTAAAGCGTTCCTAAGTTAGTCCAAACTTGTGCGCTTCTCTCGTTCAAATGCAAACTTCTCACAAAAGCATGTTGGGCAACCTTCGGGCTCATATTTGTAGTTGCCACACCCAGAGCGTTCCAAAACTCCGAATTGCCGGCTTCCAATTCAATCGCTCTCTTGAAACAGCGCATTGCTGTCTTCAGGAACCGGCGTGTCGGCTTCTTGCCCTTGTTGCCAGAGTGAACCTGCACGCATCTGAGAGCCCTGTATTCTGCCCATCCCAGATTGTACCAGGCAACTGCTTGAGCATGTACATCTTGCGCCGAGACATGAATAGCTCTCTTGTATGCAAGAATAGAGGCATATATACACTTGTCTGAAGGACTGACGGTGTCACTAACCTCATCGAGAAGCGACAGACAGCCTTGGCCGAGCTCGTCTATTTCGGCAAATATATCGAAAGCCGAGGGCTCAACTTGAGTTGTAAGCAGCCCCTTCACTTCCTGAACTGGGAATATGCTCGCCTTTCCTTTGACGTAAGTGAACATAGAACAGGCGTCGCCAACGGCCTTCCACAGATTGAAAATATCCACACGTTCCTTCGCAAGCGATGCCGCGACACCTATAGCCTTACGCGCCAGTTCGACAGAGTCATTGTACAAGCCTGATTCGAGGCTCTTGTAAGAACTTTCTGTGAGAGTCTGAAGCAACGCAATGGTCACCCCAAGCTCATTCGGCCGGAACTTCAAAACATCCTCATAGCGTGAGATGGCATCTTCAAATTCACCGAGCTCCCGTTTTACATTTGCGAGCATGTATCTTGCGAACCAAATATGCTCTCTTTCATCGGTTGAAAGAGCTGATTCTAATTGCTGAGCATGATCGAAAGCTTTCGCAGAGGCGATATATCTCCCAGAGTGGTGGTAGCTTTCTCCAAGGCCAACCCACGAGTGGTAGTCGCCTGGCGAGATTCTCAGAGCTGATTGAAACGAGACGATGCTTTGGGCATACTGCTGCTTGTTCATTTGAACGGTACCCAAAGCGGCATATGGCCAGCTATAGCCCCTTCTCTTCGAGCCCGGTGAAGGCTTTGCTTTGCCCGAATCAACAACGCGCTGAGCCACGGCTTCAACCAAGTCCCATTCCTTTTGGTCTGCGAAGGTCCTCGCGAGCCGTTCAGCGGCTTCGATTTCGGACGCGGATAATTCGAACGCCTTGTGGAAGCACCTGCGTGCTCGTGTTTTGTCCTTTTTGTAGTCCGCATAGTAGATACCCAAGCTGGTGTATGGAGGAGCAAAGTTGATGTTGGATTGAATGGATCCAAGGAAACTGGCATAAGCACCATTGCGATCCTTGCGCGCAGTTGGCGATGGATCGAGCTCCCATTGACAGTAACCTATACGGTAAAGGATCTCACCCTTAAAGTCGCGATTTGGCGACTCTGTGTCTTGTAATTCAGCGAGCACATCCTGAAGGCCATGCAGACCAGTCTCAAGGTCCCCATTGAGGGCCTTACACCACGAAAGCTCACCCCTGATCTTAAGGTTAGACGGGTCACGCTCTCGAGCACGCTCCAAGAAGTTGACGGCTTCAGCATAGTCCTCGTCGACCTTGAGAATCAATCCAATGCCCAGGAGACAGGCTGTGGATGTTGGTTTTCTCTGCAAAATCTCTTCGAATATTTCTTTAGCTTCGGGATGATGACGAGGGATCTGGTAGTAGATCAAAGAGTTCGCCAGTAGAGTTTTTAGGCAGTCAGCAGTGTTGACTAGGCTTACCCCGGTCAGCCTGGCGAGCTCTGTGATATTTGAGAGACCCTTCCGTGCAACATCCACAACGCTATCGTATTCTTCCAGCGACAAATAAAGCTCACCCATGATGCGATTTGCGACGACTGAGGAGCGAGATGCTTCGAGGCCTTCCACCATCATTAACAATCGATCCTGTACATCCAGCTCGTGATTATCGCCGTTTTCATTTTCAGCCTCTTCCTCAGTGGGTGTAGATTCCTTCGTCTCCTTCGTCTCCTTCGGGAAGGGGGAGAGGTCACTGGCTAAGAAGCCTTTCAGAATCTTCGTAAGTCCATCTTCTGGGAAGAACTCGATGAAATCCTTTAGGAAATTGAGGTCCCACTCCGAGAAGCTTTGAATGTCGTGCCACTCAAGTATAATCTTCCAGGCCAGCTCAAAAGGGTGTTTAATGATGACCATGCCGCGAGCAGCTTCTAAGACCTCAGCGCGCTTTTCAGCCTTTTCGGCTGGCGGGAGAACGACGAGTACATCATAAGCTCGCTGTAGAAGCTTTTCTTCGTAGATACGTCGAACTTGGTCGTCATGGGACCAATCCACTATCCCACGGTATAGCTGCTCAAGCTCCCCCCGTTTGAAAGCCTCTCTTTTCACCTCCATGGTCACATGATCGATTCTCGCACCGAGCCGGGTCCTTCGCTCTCCAATTTCTCTGTTAATAAATTCCTTTTCCTCCGATTCCGTCATTTCTATGAGGCGGAGGTATGTGTGGGAAGGATGCGGTATCCGTCCTTCAAGGTAGCTATAAAGCGGACTCGTTGGGAGATGTAGTGCGAGGGCTTTTTTATATTGCGATCGAGTGCCCTGCTTCTTCGCGAACTTGATATATTTATCCACGACATCCTGGCAACGGTGCTTGTCATCGCTAGGATCGGATTAGCACTTGTTCTTGGTATATACACCTTCCAACACGAGACGTACACTTCGGCAAATATCTGACCAAGTCTCAGAGCTGCCTCATGATAAGCATCTAGCTTAAAGCCTCCCTGCTTCTCGTAGAGATTGATCAATCCCTGCCACGCTGTCTTGTCGTCGGATTTTGCACGAGTTGCTGCGAGGTATGCGCGCTCGGATTCTTCGTTTTTGTTTAGTTTATCCAGCGCTAGGCCCAGAAAGACGTTTCTGGTTGTAGAATCGAAATTAGCTCAAATTCGAATTAGCAACGCTTGGTCGTCACATACGCATGATAGTTTTGAGGCTCTTGCTTCACCACCGCTTTGGCTTTTTCGGCTGCATCTTCGAAATTTCTGGAGTCCAGCGCAATGCGCACTGCCTTCAGAGCCGATTTTGTGGACATACTGGACAGCTCACTTCATTGTCCTGCCGTAATGGCAGCTTTGGATGTGGGTGCCTCTCAGCTGGCTGGCTATTGAAACGAATAGTGTGATTTGTGGGGAAAGTCAGGCGGGCGATACGTCAGAGGCCGATCCCGTGGTCACCGTTATCTCGTATTCGTATCACTCGCTGCCTACTGGCATCGCTCTCT